GAAGTATTTATCGTAATTTCAAAAATACTGAAAAAATATTTTTAATTATATTTTTAAGACAGTAGTATCGTGACTGCTAAAATAAATCAGAAAAAATAATGTATAAAAACATATTATATTTTTAGCTCAATATGATGTCAAAATGCCAACTATTTATAAATTGTTTTCGGTTATTAACAGTTATTATGTATATTATTATTTTATTAATTCATCTGATCTTTTTCTTTTTTTTTTTTGTAATTCAGAATAATTTTTTTGCATATTTAACATCATTTTCATGCATATTTTACCTTATAATTTTTTAGCTCCTAATTACTAATTAGATTAATCCTAACAATATTTTACATTTTTTAATTTTCCTGTTTTGGCATTCCATGTTCCTATTTTTTTTATAAGGGTTTCGCTTGTTGACGACCTGGAGCACCTTCTAAGACTTTCTGCCGGGAACTGCCTCCGATAAGGCCGTTTCCATGTGATATAATTGTTTTATTTGTTGAGATCATGGTTTTTTATGAACATTTAATGTTGAACATTAGGGATGATAATGTGGTAGTTTCCCCTTGCAGCCTTCCACATCGTAGTAGCATCCATTATTACTAAAGTATGCTGTTTAAGCATAAATTAATTTATATACTTGATATTAGAAGAGCTGCTGCTACTAACCATATTACTCTTTAGTTATTGAATCTGAACACTTCATATACATGGCTATATTTTACTTTAAACTATTTTATAATTTATAATAGTATTACCTATTACCATTTCGCTACTTGGCGTCAATTCTCTCCCATTTAGACTTGCATACCCTACATTATGAGCAATAATACATATTATACCACAATAAGTGGACAATACAATACATATATATATATTAATTTAATACATCTTATAAAATAATAGCAAGTATCTACTGCAGTTTTTTATTTTTTGAATAATATCAAATAAATATAAAATCACTTTTTAAGAAATCGTTATGCATGAATATCCAATTTCGTCTAAATTTAAATTTCTGACGTCCATAAAAAATATTTGACAAATAAATTAGATTCTATTTTTTTTCTTTAATTCTACTAATTATAACTTATGAAGAACTTTTATTACATTTTTAAGTTTTTTGATCAATTAAAAATTTTTTGATAAAAACAAATTTAAAAAAAAGGATGGGTTAATGGGTATCGCTCTACTATAGGCACATTAGGTATAGAGTTAATCTCTGTAATGGGTATATTAAATTTGAATCCAACAATACATTATATTATACGAAAAACGATTCTAAGCAAAGTAGGTTTTTCTGCTTATATCATTTAATACATTTAATTTCATATGTTTTTTGATATACAGTGAAACCTCCATGCATTAACGGATACCTCCGAATAGCGGATGATTTTATGGGGATGAGGACATTTTCACTTCTTTCATATAGGAAACCTCTAAATTACGGACACTTTTATGGCAATTTAATTTTGACAATTTTTATCGTAAATATAGAATAATCGTGTGAAAAATAAACCTTGCGAAGGCTGGAAACAACAAAACACAGAGGGCGGCTCACTGGACATAAGCTAGGTCAGCAATCGTCAATTATCATCGTTAATGGTGATGTAGATAAATATTAGGCCGTGTGTGTGTAGATTAATACACAGAATACTTCATTGTTCTACAACACAGTTGAATTAGAAAATGCCTTGATACATGAAATTATTGTATATCAAAAACAAGCTAAAGTAACCGATTTTTTTAATAAATGTTAATTTTTGTTTTAAAATAATTTTTTTTACATTTTAACTAATTTTTTTTATTGAACTTAAGCCCGGCAACTAGGGCCATTAGCTGTTTGTAAGGGTTACGTTGTAGGTTGGTACGGTAGGTTGTATTTTTATGATTGTTACGGTTGATAGCAAACACGTGTATGTGTGGCAAGGTTTTTAACCACTATGATCCTGAGTGGTCACCCATCCGGGAGCTAGTAGCTGTGGCCGTTACTTACTCTCAGTCGCATTCCGCGACTGGTAGCAGCCAACGCGCCACGCCAAGCCACTATATAACTAATTTTTATATACATGATATTATCATAATTTTATATCATAATTTTAATAATACAAAAATACAAATATCATAATTATAAATTTTAGTATTGTATAAATAATAAATGTTGTACATATGTAATTATTAATTTCTCTGAGTTATTTTCAAAAATCCCTCCCTCACGCCCTCTGAATAGCGGACACCTCCAAATAACGGACAAAATTACGGCGACCGAGAGTGTCCGGTATTTAGAGGTTTCACTTTAGTTATTAAAGTAATTTATTTTCCTTTAAGTATTGTGGTAGTTTAATTTAATTTTTTCTGAAAACATTGCATTTACTATATTATTATTTATTTGTAATTAATAACTATAATAATATGTATATTATATCATTTATATTAATTTTTGAGTTATTAAAATACTTTATACTGTAAATACTTAATACCGTTTATAAACAGTATAAATAGATTCATAGATCTATAAACCATTGTATGAATAGATAATATCTTATAAATTATAATTAATCTACAAAACCCAAATTTGAACTACAAATATACATATATAAAAAATAATTGTGCTAGTATGTTTTTAGATATTCTAGTTTCAGTATAAATTAATTCTAAGAAAAAATTATTAAGTTTTCATACTTTAGTTATTTAAAAATTAAAGATTTTATAAATTTTTTACACAAAATATTTTTAGTTTGTAAATTTTAGTGATTTTGACGTATTTTGTAAAAATATAAAATTTAAATGTAGTTAAACAAAAATTTTCTTTTTTTTTAAATTTAAATTTTGTTCTGCAGTTACAAAAACAATTAATGTATATAGGGCTTTGTATTCAATTTTCATAAATTTTACCTATTACTAAATTTTTTATCAGTACTTGTTTATAAATAAAAAATAATAGAAAATTTCAATTGCCTACAAATAGCTTAAAAATAGTCAAAATATCTAAAAAAAGAAATATTCTATTTATAGAAATTAATAAAATAAATATTTAGTGAATATTTTAAATTTTTAGGTTGTTCATTATCGAATTATACTAAAAACCTAAAATCGATTTTGTCAAAAAAAGATTTGCGTAAAAATTTCAATTTTTCTTCATTTTTTGTTTTTGTTTCCTGATTATTTTGAAAAATAGTCGTAATTTTGACCACTAAAGTACCAACAAAATCCAATTTCGGTATCTTAAACCATCTTCTGAGTTAAAAATCGAACCATTTTTTCGACTTATTATCGTGTGTACAGACACAAAAAATATACATCATTGTAAAATCAATAAATTGATTACTCCGCTCAAAATATAAAAATCAAAAACTTCTGTTACTTATAAATAGCTTAAAAAGAGTTAACTTTTATTTTTCACGACGCGTATAAAAACTACTGAGAATTTTTAATTTTTTTCTCCTTATGTACCGTACTACCGTAACTAGATTCAATTTTCACCCAGAAAATATCTTGAAGTTGAAAATCAAAATCAAAGTATTTTTTCTATTATATAAAATGAAAAAAAAAAAAATTGTTAAATATCAATTCATATTTATAAATTCGCTCAGAAGTTAAAATAATATGAAATAAGTGAAAATTGAATTTCTACAAATTTAGATGTTTAAACGATAAATATCAATCTTTATTAAATTATATTAGTTAATTTGTTGTAATTCAAATATTTAATCAAAGACTGGATACTTCCCACCATCGTTTCCTGCAGTACATACAATGCTATTTTCACAATTGTAGATAAATTTGTAAAGTATTTATAAGTACCTACATGTAAATTTCGAATTTGTTTAGTTTTTTCCTGATATTAAGTGTTCCTCCTCAATTGTAAGAGAGGGGTTTCTTGAAGGATTCCAATATATTTTATTAAGATTAAACCCTTCAATCCTCTCATTACGTTCGGACATGTGCTGCACTCGTCGTTAGTGGCAGCTTTCTATTTTTCTATTTTTTTTGCATCTTGCTATATGTTGAAAATATATAATAGTGGAATATATTTCAAATATTTCAATGTTGAATGTTTTCTTTTTTTCACTGTGTTTCGTCTAATTACTAAACTATGTATAAACTAATAATAGGAATTAGGAAAAACTTAAATAAAAATTGTAGATGCGAAGGATTTAAATGCCTTTGGTTTCAATAGATTCCTCTGGTAAAAAGTTTGATTTAAGTGCCAACTAGCAACATTTTCTTTAAATATGTTATATAGTCTACAGTTTTAAATTTATTTTAGGTCTTACCATGAGTGGGAGGTTGTTAAAGTCTTAGTTAGTATTAATAGTTAATCTAATTCATGTTAAATTATATCTAAAAACAAACAATTATAAATGGATTTTTTTCTGATAATTAATTTTACTTTTTAATATAAATTAAAGTAATTAGTTTATTTGTATAATTTTATTTTTAAATTTAATTAACGATTAATTTTTGCATGTAATAACCATTTAGTAATGGTTTTTATTTATTTAATATTATAATGTTTCGGTATGATGTGTAGGTATACTACTGATTAAAACAAAGTGTTAAAATTTGACAAACTCAATTTTGCAACTTCTAATTACTATTGTTTTGGTAATATGTCATAAGTGGGCGTTTGTTTGAAAGCCACCATAAATATATTAAAACAAATTTGGCACTTTATCTAACGTGTTTTGCCAAGTATTTTTATTTTAATAACTTGAAGATAAAATTGTTTATTAGAAAACCACGATGTGTACGCTTTTTGTGTAAGGATAAGAACACAATAATGAGTATCTTATCTATACGAATATATCTTAGATAATAGTAACAATAGTGTGTCATATATATTTTGTAATTTTTTGTAGATACACACCTACGTGGCTACATATTTAAGTTTATTAGTTATTTAAAAATTTAATGATAAAATATTATATTTATTGTTTTCAGGTGTGCTGTGCGTTATTTAAATTTTATATCAATACACATATTTTAATTATTTCTTTGATTTTTGTTATTAAAAAATATGTTTGGTTCGTATTGCTCTATTTATATTTGTGTTTTAATTAATTCAACTTACAGTTTTGAAAGTTTATAGTTTTTCGTGATTTATTTTCAATAAGCTTATAACAGTTTGTTAATACTATTAAAAATGAGCGAAAACTCCGAAAACAAGGAAATGAAGACGTCTGGTTTACGACCACCGACCAAAATTCCCACTATGGGAGTGTCGAGGTTACCAAGTTCATCTTCCATCAAACTTGGTGAGTCAGATTTTATCTTAAATAATATTAACATCAACATTTTATTACATTTATGGTTAAAAAAAAAAATGAAAAAAAAAACATTATGAACTTCAAATAAAAAAAAAATGAAAAGTAATTATTAGTATTCATTTAAATTAGGAATCATAGTTAGGATCTGCTTATATTAAATTATTACCTATTATCATTCAAAGTAAAATACTAGTATATTACCGAAATTTCAGTTATTGCGCACTGTGTTTACCTACTATACAGAATAGACTAAATATAGGCTTTATAATTATTACAGGATGTGTTGAAATATATAGTGTAATGATATATTGAGTTCGGATATACCATGGACATATAAACACATACCAATATCTTGGAAGGGGGGCCACTCCTGCAACACCTCCTTCACAGAGGAAAAGTTCGTAGGCGACCTACTGTGCACCTGTGATTACAAGGTTATGGTCATCATTAGTTGTTGTTCTTTAGTCAGGTGTTGTTTTGTAAATATTCGGACAGTTCAGTTTGGTGTACAGTATTGGTATTTTAAGTACCTATCTATATATGAGATGCCGAATCCTGTATTCGAAGAGACAATTATACCAAGACATTTGGATTTATTCTGCAGAGCAGATGGTAGAATTATAATACATTTTAATACAAATAGATGACTTTAAAATACAATAATCAATAAATAGGTTAATTGATTGAGAGGTATTAAATTTCAAAAATGGTGATATTGTTATTTTCCATGATTTGTATATTATGTTCTATATTTATTCTTATTTTATATTTTTTAGAATTTTAACCCAAAAATGTATATGGTAAGCCTAATATATTTTAATATTTAAAATAAATTCATATGTGGTAACGACTAAATACTTAAAATAAAATTAAAGTTAATAAAAATTAATTATAATTATTAATATATAAGAGATGTTCTAAAAAAATATAACTTATAATAATCGAATAACAAAAATTATAACTATTATTTCATTATATCTAAATATCTAATATTTATTTGTTTCTAGTTGTAAGAAAACTCTTTTAACATAATAACAAAAATTTTAAAACTTCTAACAATATAAATAAGATTTTATAAATTGGGTATACGAGTGTAGTCATAAAGACAGTACATTATTTCACATTTTTATTAAAATGTTAACACACTCGTATATTATATTTTAACATAGTGAATAATTTTTTGAAATTCGCTTAGGTATAATAACAATGATAATCAATTTTGTCTTTTTAAATTATAATATATTTTAAGCATGTTCTGTACTTAAAAATTATGTTTTATGTTTATATGTTAAATAAATGAACATATATTTTATTATATGTAATTTAAGATACCTAAAATTGGAATAGAGCTAAAACATAAACTATCGCATCCCCTGAGATAAAAATATTCATATATAGTAGTACTATAATTTTTATGTTTATATCCTGTTATTTGAATAAACACACGAAGAATATAGAATATCGTCCCACATTATAGGCTACAGGCGTAAATATACTAGTATAAGTACGCCTACATTTGTTTCATTTGGTGGGTGATTTTAAACTTATGACCTACTTGTATTAATTTAAATTTAAAAATCTGTAATCAGAGAGAAAATATTGTTGATAATTTTTATAATTTAGGTATACATATTTCAAACGGTGGTAAGTTTTAATAAGGATTGCTTAGTTTATTTTAGATCATTTAATTTTCACTGGCGTACCCACATTTACGGATCCTTAACTATAATCCCACTATCCTATTGTCATTATTGATTATGATCAATCTATTAATAATAAATTATTTTATGTCTTGTCATTCCAGATGGAGTAAGCTCTAATACAATCAAACTAGACGGAGGTTCAAGTGTAAAAAAAACTGCAGGTAATAATAATTTTTGAAAATATAAACCATGCAATAAATAAATAACAATCTATTTTTATATAAATCGTGTGTGCTATTTCTGCGATTACATTTTTCCAAATATTTTAACCATAAAATCATAATATCATTTAAATATCAAAGTACAACCATCTAGATTATTATTGGTAGGTATTGTATAAATAAGTTGGGTCGTTCATTAATCATTATATCATTACTTATTATTTATTTTTTATTAATGTGGTTAAATACCTTGGTATCAGCAGTGCTTTATTATCTTGTAGTTTTTAATATTTAGCTTATTTAGAATTTCTTTTCCTTAACTAAATTATCTCTTTCTATCTTGGAGATGTATATTTATGTATTTTATTGGCTTAATTAAATTTGTTTATTACAATTTTTACGATCGAGTATGGACATATTCGGTATGCGCCAACTCCACTGGAAAAATTAAAAAAATGTTACAAAAAAAAAAAAAAAAAAAATACATCTCATTTCCACTAAAAGTAAAAAAAAAAGTGCAGTAATAACATTTTACTAGTTTTAAGTTGATTTTTTATCTACAGCATAAGTATTTTATACTCGTTTATGTCATATATAATATCCATTTTCACGCCATTTTTTGAAAATAATGTTATATAATTTAATAGTATTGAGTTTTTTTGAATAAAGGAATTTCTAGGAGATTTACACGGTGCTTTTTGAAATCGTGAAGTATGTTTAGCCCACCATGTGAATACACTTATAATAAATGATACATTTGATACACTAAGAATTTTTAGAATTTTAGATATTTACGTAACACCAGTATTATAACTAATAATTGTTTATTATTGCTTAATATAATATTATCCGCATGTTGCATTTTGTTTTATGTTTGTAATTTATTAGACATGGCGTATGTTAGCAAACACAATGGTTTTAATAAAAAACCGACAGATGAGCGCAAATCATCAAGTAAGTTGCCGCTTTCATTTTTTTTTTTTTTGTATGGAAGTAGTTTAGTTTTTTCATGTTGCTTTTATATTAGGCGGTTCAGATTCTTTCATAGGAGATGCACGTAGACTAAGTGAAGCTGGTGTAAGACGTAGTTCAGGTTTGTTTTATTATTCTTATTTTAAACATATTATCATGTACCTATGTGTTCATTTAAATAATCATCACTTTTCGCTATAATATATAATATACATCGCGCGGTTGACACATTATTTATTTATGTAATTATATTAAGAAATAATTTAGATAGTTTTATAATTTTTAGGAAACAGTGTTGTTCTTACAGAAGATACGGATAAATTTATCATCGGCAATCGAATTTGGGTGGGCGGAACTAAACCTGGGCAAATAGCATATATAGGTGAAACTAATTTTGGAAACGGAGATTGGGCTGGTGTAGTACTTGACGAACCAATTGGTAATTAAATAACATACCAGTTAGGTATGTTGTTGGGTTTTATAATACATATTATTTTAGGTAAAAATGATGGGTCTGTGAGCGGAACAAGATATTTTCAATGTGAACCAAAGAGAGGTATATTTGCTCGTCTTACTAATCTTACCTCTGCTCCTTTAAATTCTGTTGAAGATTCTATGGTTCAAAGTTCATTTGCTGCAACCAAACCATTAGGGTTTTCAACTCCTATGCCTAAAAGGCAAGGTTCGACTGTAACAGCTACTAAAGCTGCCCCAAAAAGTAAGTACAAATATGCATAATTCAGTTGTGTGGAATATCTTTAAATAAAAAAATTAAAACATAAATTATCAATGATCAATATTCTGCCATAATTTGTTTAAAAAAAATAAAATTTGAAATAGTATACATTTATTTCTCTGTTGTTTTTCTCTTTGCTGATTTTTTCAAAAACATAAACTACATATTTGTTAAACATTTAAAATATATAAAATATATATAGACTGCTTATTCAGATTGCATCTTTAATTTTCTATATTAATTTTAATTTAGAATTGAGCGATTGGTTTTACATATTACAATAATGTATTTTCTTATAATTTTTTTTTTTTATGTGTGTGAGAAACTTTTTCCAATAGAAATAAAATGCTCCGAATAAATTTCAAGAGAGATTTTTGATAGAAAACTAAATCTAGTTTGTACTTTTGAAAAAGGGTATTGTTAAAAGTATATATTATTTTAAATTTCTTTTTAAAATATTCACAAAATATTCACTTAAAAAAAAACTTAAAAAAATCAGTTTTTCACTTAAGTATGATAATGTTTTTGTTTATGAGTAAAAAATTAAAAATTTAATAAAGGTTTCTCTTAAGTTTTTTGTAGTGATTTAAAAATACAAAGAATACATGATGAACATTTTAGGTTTTAGGGTGAAAAGAAAAAAAATAATGAATAGTTTTTAATTTTAATTTTATTATTAGAATAATCAATTGTTGAGTGCTAAAAAGTTAAGTTGTCTCTACGTATAATCGTTTTTTAACATATATAATTATCTATTATTGAATTAAAATTTAAAATATTCATTACAGTTCAGCTGAAATAAATTAAGTATCCCTTATTTTTTCTTTATACATGTTTAACAGTTTTAAATTAATGGTTAACATTATGTATATAATATGCATTTTATTGTAGGTATTAGTCAAACACCTATAGCCAAAAGTAGCAGTGACTTAAAAATTGGTGATCGTGTAATTATCAGCAGTGGACAAGGATCTAAATTGGGAGTTTTGAGGTATCGTGGTGTAACTCAATTTGCACCAGGAGAATGGTGTGGTATTGAATTAGATGATCCTCTTGGAAAAAATAATGGAACAGTTGAAGGAATTAAGTAATTCAATTGCTTATTATAAATATTTTTAAAATTACAATAATTCTATTTTTGTTTTAGATATTTTGAATGTGAAGATAAATTTGGCTTGTTTACTCCCATTGCTAAGGTTTCCAAATCACCGATGTCTGCTAGTCGAATGTCGACCAATTGTGCTATTCATAAGGCGAAACGTTCACCAGGTTCTATGAATGGATCTATGATTAGTGGTATTACAACAAACACCATGTCATCAATACCTACTCGGGTAAGACTTGGAGTTGCTTCTTTATGCTACAAGGTATTTTGCATGAGTTTTGATTGCTTTTAATATTTAATAAAGTGTGTTATTGCTCTAACAGAAATAAATAATCATTTTATAAAGAGTATAGTTTATAAATTTTACTATAGAAATATGTCGTAAATAGAAAAAATAAATATTTCTATTTATTACAGGAAAGTAATTTAAAATTAAATATAATCAAGTTATTTGGTGAAGGTAAAATATTATATATTTTTAAAAGTATATTAAATCATTTATTTTAATAATATTATTAAACATAAATTAATTTAATATCATTGAATATTATTATTAAAATGTAGTTATAAATCCATTTATAAATATTTAATTAATATTATTCAAGTTTAGTATTTTAAAATAATAAATATGTTATTTTAAAATATGCATTAGATATTGCATCCACACTGGTTTATATATTCAAAAATACATTTGTTGTTCATACTTAAAAAAAATTTATTTGTAACTTAAATTTTTATTAATGCAGAAATATAAATATGTTAATAATTTTTGCTTACTATGCATGCTAAGTTAAAAATAGTTAAAACTATTTTTTATTGTCTATAGTGTTTATATTAAATAAGAAGATGCCAATATAAAGTATGTAATTTGTCTTTGACATATTTATGATAACAAAAAAGCTATATATTTAATTTAACTTTTAATTATGAATTTATCATTACCAATTGGTGATATATCCAATTGTACACTTTAAAGGTGTGAGTGCACTGGTCTGTAATGAGACTTATAACAAAACAACTAGTATACCTAAAAGTGATGAATCTATTAGACAACTTCTAAGATCATTTACTCATTTTTTTTTTATTATTATTATTGAAACTAATAGTATCAATGCATTGTAAATTTACATTGTTTTTTACAGTAATGATTAAAAGTTTATTTCAGAAACTATAACAACACTTCCTAAGTGATTGTTATAATAGGTTATATTTTACTTAATTTAATTAATTTAACTATTAAATTTAAAGTACAATGACAAGTTTGCTGTAGTTTGTTGTGTATAAAGTATTTGGTAGATGGGTGATCTTAAAATTGAACAATTAAACAAACTGTAATTAACTAATAATTATAAGTTGTATATTTTTAATTTTTTTTTGAAATAGTTTTATATTATATAAGAATATGGATTATACATAAGTAAATGGATATTTTGTTCAAATATCAAAATGATACATAAGCTTTAAATTGAAATCACTAGAATAATTACCATAAGTGTTTAATGTAGTTTAAAACTGCACTATAATGATAAAGTATTTGATAACTAAGAAACTAAAAATATGAAGCATTTAATAATTTTTTTATATTATCTTATGTGTACAGCACCGGTGAAGGAAAATTAATTTTTATTAAAACCAAAAATAATTTAATATCTTTAATAACAGTAATTTAACTTTTTTTCGATGATTTTGAACAATAAGTATTTGGTAAGTAACTAATAATTATATTTTATTTTAAATTTAATAATTTATTTTTTTAATATTGAAATAAAATATTAATTATTTTGTTGAAATTTCTAGTCAGAAGTGAGATTTGTGGAAACCTATCATCCGCAATGGGAATCTGGTTATTATTAAATCAACCATCACTTATTGTTTAAACTAAAACGTATAATTGATTATTGGTATAAACATTAATACAATGTTTTTGTTTATTTTTAAACACCAAAATCTAAATTATTAACAATTGCACTACAAGATAAAATATTTAAATCAAATCATTAATAAATGTAATCTTTATTTATTGTTCCACATTTTTATTAGACTATTCTAACTTTATATCTAATTTTATTGTTTGTTATATTTTTTTGTTTCTATTTGTTACATTTTATTATTTTATAATGTTTTCTTTTTCACCAAGTAATGAAAATAGTTTTCATTTGTACATTTTTCATTTATCCTGCCTTGAAATCCTTGTGATTTTTATCATTATATTGTACTGCATGGTAATTAAGTTATTTAATGTGATATTGTGTGTTTTGTAAAATTTAACTAATTTTTCAGTCCATAAATTCAAGTATGTTTTTATCTGACTTTATTATCTCAATTAGTTCAATCTACATTCTAAAATATTTTATACTTTAACTTTGAGTTTTCTAATTTGAATTTTATGTTTATGGAAGTTTATGAAGGGCTATTTATTTAAGATAATAAATAACTAATGGTTATATTAAAAAATATGTTTGGTTGAAGAAAGATAGTACATATGTAAAAGACCGCTTTTTACAACACATTTTGCCAAAGATCCTTGGTACTATGTATCTAATATTGTGGTATACTCAAAAAATAAAGAATTAAAAATGTATTTTGTAAATTAATTTTATATTCTAATATCTTTAAATACAGACATAAATATTTATATTTATATAAAGAGGGAAATGAATAACTCTTCATTTTTCATAATAATTGCAGCACAGATTAAAACTAAAGTTTAGACATTATTGTTTTTAGGTAGGCTAGACCCATTTGTCAATTAAAAAAATTCAGTATTCTTCATTAAATAAAAAGATACATATTTATTATATATTATTTGAATTGTTATTATTCAGCGTGTTTACATTAAACATAAATAATAAACTTATGCATATACTTAAATGCATATATTATTTAATAACTGAACAAATTAATACTTATACATAACATTGATTTCAATTATATCAGATTATATTATTCATAATTTAAATAGACAATAAAGAAAATATATTATTGGTATTTATACAATTACAATTTTTCAAATAATTGTATTTTAATGAAATGCTAGATTATAGTAGTATCATACTTGAGTATAGTCTGAATTAAAGACTATCACTACAGTAATCAGTAGGGACCGGATTTCAATTTAGATCATTCTGATTAAAATAACACTAATTGTATTTTGTATATTTCAACTGTTTTACCTATTAAATGCATATAAGTAGTTTTATAGTGTATATTATTATTTATAACACATGCATTTGTTTTTTTTTCTTTATATTTTTATGTTCACGGCCACATTACATCGATAAAATTAAGTCTGGTTGTTATTACCAAAGATAAGATAACATACTCATTTGCAACAATTTAAAATATATTAATATAGATCAATTTTTGTTTTAATTTTTTATTAATGTGGGCTAATATAAAGAATATTAAATGGCGAAGATAATCAAATACTTTTTTAAACCTTTTTTAATACTTAAGTTTTACATAATTTTTAAATAAAATATTATTAATTCAATTTTTAGTGCATATTCTGTAGCATATTACAGCATTTTTAGAAGTATATTTTGAGGATTTTTTGTGTATATAAATCTGGTCCTTAGTAATCAGTAAATTAAGAATAATTTAATTATCATTATAATTAAGTGTATCATTTGTGTATTATGTATTTGAAAATGAGTGAACATTATAGATGAATTTGTAAATAGTTATAATGGTATCTTTTCATTTTTATTTAAATATGAACTGTAAATTTACATCTTATAGTTCTCTACATAGATAAATATTATTAAATATCATAAAACTCCAATAATAAATATAATGTATAAAAATAAATAATTAATACCTTATCATCACATTTTAGGTAGGTATACATTTAACAAATATAAAGAACAACAATGAATTGTTTGATTAAAATAAAATATTTGAAATTTAAAATTATACATATATTAAAGAAATTTATGAATACTCTGATGATAAATTACTGTACACAATTTAACCACACACGCCATAAAAAACAAATGTTTGTAAATTGGGAGTTTTGAAGTATGATCTTTAATACATTATTTTTCTGGCACTCTTGTTTAAATATTATAATTTTATTTAAAGCTTCAATGTATTAATTTAATACTTATTATTTGCATTTGTATAATTGAATAGATGAGTCTTCTAAGAAGACTGAGACTGATTGCAATAATTTCTCAGCATTTCCATAGTTGTATTGAATGGAATTTAGATTAAAGATTAACTTAAAAGTATTAAATTTTAAATTTTAAGTTTGTCATTTTATAAAACTATATGAGAGGATCATAATATGAATTTTTATATCTTGAATTATGATTTGATTGTAATCCTTATCGTATTCTTGGATACAAAATATCTGATACTTAAGTATTTTTAGTTGTCTAGGATTTGTCTCATGTGTAATTATAATATTTTATTTATAGTTATCCATTTCAAAGGTTATTAATGTTATAAAATAATTGATTAAAAGCTGAACTTTTGATTTAGAAATAAATATCTTAATTATTTTTCCATATTAAACACAATGATTTTACAATAATATCAATGCTTAAATCTTCATTTACTACAACTAATATGTAAATATAGCAGTTAAAGACAAAAGGTTAGAAATTTGATTTTGTTACTCTATAAGAGTTGATTTCATTTAAACTTTGATAGTTTAAAAATATTTTAAACTTAAATACTTAATAAAAAGTATGTTATTAAAAATTAAATAGTGAGTAAATATTTTAAATTATTTAGTTTTAAATTAGAGCTTTTTTTTTATGATAGTAATATAATCAAGTGTATTTAATATTAAAAACAATTATTACTGGTATTTTAAAGCTTATGTATCATAATGTTTTTCAAAATAATTGTCTTAGATGTATGTAAATGTTTATTAAACTGTATATATTCGTATAATTTTAGCCATTGAAAGTATCAGATACGGATCGATTAAAATTGCAACTAACTCAAATAAAAAATGAAAATGAACTCCTTCGTTCACAAGTTATTAAAGCAGCTAATCAAGCTGATGTAGCTGAAAAAAGATTGGAAGAAACGTTAAAAGTAAGTGATAATTATTTTAAGTATTTTCTGTGTTCTGTGTTATTTATATGGCAGTTTTTTTTTTTTTTTTTTTAGGCTCAATCTGAACAACCACCAGAAGCACAAGTCAATGATATGATAATACTGCAAAATCAATTAGATAAAATAAAAAAACAAATAGATGATGAAAAAGAAAAAGTTCAAAATTTACAGTTCACCAATGAAGAACAAAATGTTGTCAATATTGAATTACAAAATAAAAATGCTGAACTTCTAATAAAAATTAAAGAATTAGAATCAGATTTGGCGAAAGAACGTAATCTAGCTAAAGATGTAGAAAAAGAGACAATGAAAATTTTTGAAAAAGAAGAAGAATTGTGTAGAGTAAAAGAGGAGTTAGAAACCCTAAAAAAATTAATAGACAACAATGAAGATGAATTACAAAAATCAGTATCTAATTTAAGTTCAGAAGTAGTTGATAAAGAAGCAATTTTAAATACATTACGTCAAACATTGAATGAAAATTCTCAAAACCATGATCGTTTATTAAAAGAAGCTAATGAAAATTTATCTGCTACCACAGAACGGTTAACCAAAATAATAGAAGAAAAAGAGAAAAAAATCGAACAGAATCAAGAGATGATTGACCAATTAAATGAAGGTATAAAATGTTTGAGTGCATTAAAGAATGAAGAACATGATGATATTGTAAATAATTTAAAAAGCGAGTTATTAAAATTAAAAAATGATTACAAAGTAGTTATTGATGAAAAAGAACAAGATATCAAAATAACTCAAGAGAATCATATCAAAATTGAGAATGAACTCAGACAAGAATTAAAAAGCTTATTAGAAAATAAAAATCAAGAAATTCAACAACTTCAACAAAAAAATAATGAAAAACTTGAAAATCTTGAAAATGTTAATCAAAATATAAATATAGAATTAAAAGCAGCATTAAAATCTGTACAAGATAGAACAAATGATATAACAAATTTAGAAAAAAAACTTAGTGATTTAGAACTTCAACAGCATTTAAATAAAAATGAATTGGAAAAAGAACTTACAACAAAACTGAAAACTATTGAAAATGAATTAACATCTTTAAGATCTGAAAAATCTATGTTAGAAGAAGAGCATGAAAATTATGTGAAAGAAACAAAAAATGCAACAAATGTTTTAGAAAATGAATTGAAACAGAATAATATTTTAATAGAAAATCTTAATAAATCATTAAATGAATTAAATTTATCAAATAAAAATGAATTAGATTCTATGAAAAAAAAAATATTGCAGTTAGAAAGTGAACGAGATCATTTATTAAAATGTCAAAGTTTAGAATTAGCTACTAAAGATGAACTCATAAATACCCTATCCAATAAACTTGAACTGACATTAACAGAAAAACAAAAGCAAGATTTAAGCAATGCGAATTTACAGACTGAATTAACAAATGAAACTTTGAAGTATCAAACGACTATTAAAGATTTACAAAACAAAATTAATGAATTAGAAGCAAATATTGCCTCAAATGGTGAATCATTTAAATCAGAATTGGAATTATTAAATAATGAAAAAGTAGCAAGTGTATCAGAAAACTTGAATCTTTTAGAAAAATTAAAGTCTTTGGAAAATTTAAATTTAAATCTTGAAGAGAAATTAGTTTCTAATGAAGTATGCATACAAGATATTCAAAATTTGAATAATGTAATAGAAGAAAAAAATAAAATTATAGATGATAATCAAATAAAAATTAAACAATTAGATAATTTTGTTACTCAAACTAAAAATGAATATGACCTTATTCTAAAACAAAAAGAAGAAGAAATTAAGGAACTGTTAAAAAACAAAGAAGAAAAGATGAAAATAGAAAAGTTGTCATTAGAAGAAAAAATTAAAGTTATAATAGATGAAAAAGACACAGAAAATTCAATACTCAATAAAAAAATTGTTGACTTAGAGAATATGAAAAAAGATTTAGAAAAGCAATTGGAAATGAGTAAATTACACGAACAAGATTTGAAAAAATTAAATGAAATAATTCAAGATAAAGTTAAAATTATTAAAGATAATGATTTGAAGATTGAAGAGCTGAATAATTTAATTTATTTAACCAAAAATGAGTTTGAAAGTAAATTAAAAATAAAGGAAGTTGAAATGATAAATTTATCGAAAACTGTAGAGGATAAATTAATCATTGAAAAACAACAAATGGATGAACAAAATAAAACATTGCTAGATGAAAAAAATAAAAAAATTTCCAATCTAATGGAAAAGCTTAGTATTTTGGAGAACTCTAAAACAGGCATCGAACAACAGTTAATTGAAACTAACAAAAAACAAGAAAATATGATAACTGAACTACAATTATCAATTGAAGAAAAAACAAAACTAATTAATGAAAATCATTTAAATATTGAACAGTTGAATAGTAAGATTGTAAAGTGTAAAGAAGAGTTGAAATCAGAATTGAAAGATAAAGAAGACAAAATGAATGATCGTATAAAAGTTGGGGAAGAGAAATTAATCATTGAAAAAAAACAAATAGAAGAACAAAATAAAAAATTATTGGATGAAAAAAATAAAGACATCTCCAACCTAATGGAAAAACTTAATATTTTGGAGAGCTCTAAAACAAACATTGAGCAACAGTTAACTGAAACCAGCAAAAAACAAGAAAATATGATAGCTGAACTACAATTAACAATTGAAGAAAAAACAAAACTAATTAATGAAAATCATTTAAACATTGAACAGTTGAATAGTAAGATTGTTCAGTGTAAAGAAGAATTTAATTTAGAGTTAAAAGAAAAAGATGATAAAATAAAGGAGCTTATAAAAGTTGGTGAAGAGAAATTAGCAGATGAAAAATTAGCAGTAGAAAAACATACTATGCTTTTGTTGGATGAAAAAAATAAGGAAATTTCCAATCTAATGGAAAAACTTAATATTTTAGAAAAATCAAAGTCAAATTTAGAGAAACAGTTAGAGATAAGCAGAACTCAAGAACATGATATAATAGAGTTGAAGAAAACTGTCCTAGAAAAAACTAAAATCATTGATGATAATAACTCCAAGGTTGAAGTATTAAATAGTCTTATTGCACAGACTAAAGAAGATTTTGATATAAGGCTCAAAGAAAAAGAAAATGAAGTTAATGAGCTTGTGAAAACTCTAGAAGATAAATTAAATATAGAAAAGATATCATTTGACACCCGTATTAAATCCTGTGTGGATGAAAAAAATACAGAAATTGAAGTATTGAAAACTCAATTACACGAGTTTACAGAAAATAATAAAGAAAAAGAATTGATGTTGAAATTAGAATCCATCATCAACGAATTAGAAAAAGAGAAATTACGGGCATTAAATTTAGAAGCACTTAAACTTGAGTTAGAAAAAACTGTGTTACAACAAAAAACTGAATTGGAGTTATTAAATGTATCCAAAATTAATATGAAAGAAGATATGATTAAAACTATTGAAAAACAACAAGTTCTCAATGCCGAATTAACAGCTAAAACTAAAACTGAATCTGAACAATTAGTCAGTGAAAAATTAAATATTCAAAAACAAATTGATGAACTACAGATTGAGTGTTCTAGACTACGATCAACTTTAGATGAAAAGAATAGTGAAATTGAAGATTTAAAAATTCAGAAGTCTCAAGAGTTGAAACCTGCTATTTCTTGCAATGATGAATTGAGTCAGTTGAAAGCTTTACTGTAAGTAAAAATTTTAAGATCAAATAACCAATAATGAAATTTGAGTATGAATAATAAATTATATAAATCATGAATTCACCATACGTGTATATTTAATGTAATAAGTCAATCCCATAATATTCTTTTATTTAATACTTATATTTTAGTGAAAAGAGTCACAGTGCCCAATCTCATTTGGAATTCCGTATTCAAGAGCTAACTGATGAAAATCATCGTTTGAATGAACGCATTGAAGGTGACAATAATCAACTTCAGAAGAATAATAATATTATGTAAGCTAACCAATTTTAATACTAAACAATAATACTAACTAATTGTTTAAATATTTTTATTTTATTTATTTTTTGGTAGGCAAGAAAAATACAACATTGAAAAAAAATATGAAGAAACTAATAATATTTTAAAAATTAAAGAAAATCAAATTTTAGTGTTGCAAACCGAGGTTAGTATTAAGAATATTTATTTTTGATAAAAATGTATTTATAGAATTTGTTTACATTAATATTTATTAGCATGTATACTTTTACAAGATATAATGATAAATATTTTACATTGAATCTAGTAGAAATTATTTTACCACAATACCTTATAAGGTTATTACTTATTATAGATAAAACTTATAATAATTTATTTAAATCATTTTTAATTATTGAGAATTATATGTTTTTTATTTGTTTAGTTGAATTCTTGGAAGTTAAAGGATACAGAGAAATCCAAGAATAATAATGTTCAAGAAAATACAAATAAATCTGGTAATTTATTATATTATATTTTAGATATTAATTATATTTGGGTCTGATTTATTATTTTTATTTATAGAAGCTCATTTATTAGCAGAAAAAAATCAAGAAATTAAAATGTTGAATTCAATAATATTAGGCTTACACAAAAAATTGTCTGCTGTTATGGAAACTGATATTTCTGAATATGAGATGTAAGAATAGTATAGTTCAATGTTTAAGAGTTATTATGCCTTAAAAAATTATTTTGTTTTTACTGAAATAAAGGAGGTATTTATTACATTTAAATTATAAAAACTTAGTGAACTGAAAATTTGTTCCACTTAAAGTTTTTAATGTTTAAATGTTATATTTTTAAATTATTCTTTACTTAATTACTTATATCATTGGTTTATAATGAATTATTGACTATATTTTATCTATAAATAGTGTTTAATCAATGCTAATATGTTTGTAATTTTCTATGCATTTAGCGAGAAAAATCCTGATACCATTTCAAAAGAAGATTATCAAAAACTATACAAAACGGCTAAGAATAATGTTAAACTAAAGGAATGTGAAAATTTATCATTGAAACAAGAGGTTGATTTGAATAACATTAATACAAATTTATACCTAATTATTTAGATATTTTTACCTGAATAATTGTATGTGTTATTTTCAGATTAATAAGCTAAAATCAGAAAATGATCGTTATTCTGAGTTCAAAACTAAATGTGAAAGCTTAGAAAATGATAAAAAAACACTACAAAAATTAATAGTTAGTTATGATAACTCTATTCCAACAAACGCTAAAAGTGAAAAAAGTGATATTAAATCTGGTTAGTAATTCTAATATTTAAAATAAAAAGATAAGTTAATTTAAAACAATATTAAAGTATTTTATTTAATAAATTATCATAAATTGTTAATATTATATGTTTAGAAACTGAAAAAATATTAGAAGAAAAAGATTGGCAAATAAATTTGTTAAACAATATTATTGCTGATCTTCATGCAAAGGTGTCTGATAATAAATTTAAAATTGAAGCACTAGAAACACAAATATTAGATTCGGGAGTGTAAGTATATAAAATACTATAATAATCATGACATCATTTTAATTTCTTTTTTTTTTTTTTAATTTGATGTAAAGGAAAAAAATAATTTTACATCCAGTATTTTTAAATACAAAAAATAAAAATAAAAATTTAAACACTAATATTAAAAAAGTACGCTTAGGACGCTATGGACTTTCAAAAAATGAAAAATATGTTATTCATAATTTATTATAGTTATTTTTGAATTCAAAAAAAATTATTTGTCTATTGTCTATTTAAGTATAAATTTTAATATATTATGTTTGAAAATAGCTCATTACTACTAGACCTATTGGGCCTCATTGCTTATAACATATTCTCAATTTCCCAGAATTGACTTTGATCAGTTTTATCAACTTTTATATATTTCTAATATGGATAAGCTTTAAATTGGTTATCAATGAGAGTTAGTGTTCATCATCTTTTGTTTGTGCTCAATGTGGTATTCATGGCACGATACTGCAGCTAATTTTATACCAAAACAGTGTACCATCAGATAAAAAGTTAGGTAATCACCAAATATTATGAAATTTTATTTAACTGAGATTGATTGGTGAATTTGATTTTGATTTTTGCTATACATAGTTTTTAAAATATACTAAAGTATAATTTTATGAATGATTGGTTTTTTATTTATTTCCAGGGATCAAAGCAAAAAAACACGTTTAAGAACTACTCGTCTTTATTGTGAAAGGTGTGAAATATTTGATTCTCATGATACTGAAGATTGTCCTGAAAAACCAGAATCTCCAAAATTCGATAGAAAAAGAAGAGTAGTAAACGATAATTCAAATAAAATGATTGATGAACCATTTTGTGTATGTTGTGATAGTAAGTAATTTCTTATTACCTTTTATTGATATTATTTTATGATGAAATCTATTAAATTATGATGTTAATGTTTTTAACATATATATATATATATATTTAATATTCTTTATAGTGTTTGGACACACAGCCAATGAATGTGACAACTCATTAACATTTTAGTTTGGTTTGAACCATGTTGCAGATTGCTTGGTATCAAAATTATTGTTTTGTTAATTTATGTTATTATTATCATTATTACTATTTAGAATTTATATTCAGTAAGACTGATTTTAGGTACACTTTTAATTTAATACGTATTTTAAGTAAAAGTAATTTATTGTTTCTTTGTTATAGAATTTAAAATGTGATATTAAATTATAGGTAGTAAGTTATACCATTGATTATGCATTATATTATACGATACAATTGATGGTTAAGTAGCTTATTTATTTTATTTAAAACTTTTTAGGTATAATATTTTTGTCATAATGTTAATTAATAATTGATAAATGACTCAATCATAAAAAGTTAAAAAAAGAAAATTACAGTATTTTCACACTATTATCAACAAATTTAAATACTCCACTTAATCCTTAAATTTGTTTTTGATGTTTTTATTAAACAAGGTTTTTCCTATAAGTAACTTAGCTATTACCATATTATTATTCTAGTTAATTATATATAATTTATTATTATAATATTTAAATGTAATTATTATTTAATTAATTGAAGTATTATCTATTTATTTTTATTGCAAACATATTAATATTTTTGAATAATGAATTAAAGCAAATACATGTCATATATTTTAAATTGTTTAACATTCTTATATGTTTAGATCTTAAGTCCATTTAGGCGTATAGCTAATCACATTATTTGAAAATAAGTCGTTCAATAAAATTAAATTTAATGAATTAAATAATCTAAGTTATAACTGTACTAACATTTAAATTAGACTAGTAATGGATAAAAACTTATTTTAAACATATCGCAAAAGATGCATTCAAACTTTTAAACATATTGTAACAAATATACTACCAATCGACTTTAAATATTGAATTATAATAAATCTTTTTTTTTTGGTAGTCTATGAATTTTAAAACAATGTAGTTTATAATAAATATCATTATTTTCTTTTTATATCAATAAATAAATTTTTATCTAGTATGCAAGTATATTGTATTGAACACGAGTAAAATCACATTAAAATAATAATTTGGTAACTGATTATACTTTTAATTTGAACATTAAACATTCACAAGAAACTATATTCTTTACAGTGATATACAATGTAACTTTTAAAATAAAAAATACATAGAATCTTAAGATATAAAAATTAAATCAATATTGCATTGTGATATAAGTCTATAATTTTAGAAGTGAAACACATTTAACAACGTAAAAATAAAATAACTAAAGGTAACAATAAAAATAAGTATTGACTATACATAAATAAATAAACATATCAAATTGTCAACATAACAAAACATAACATGAATCAATAATCATATAATATGTCATTAAGCATTTTGTTTAAAACTATAAAAGGAGCACATTACACACATTTTTTTCTTAAAACTATAATGTAATACAATTATATTTTGCAAAAATCTGATGTATAATGGTTAAAAATGTATTATTTTGTGATGTTTGAAGTTATATTAATGTATGAAGAAATTATATTGTTAGATAGGCCATCATATAGTTACACGGTTATTTTAAATGTAACATACTTTAATTTACATAAACTTATTTTTTATGGCATGTACTCCTTAAAAGAAAAACAATAAAAAAAAATTACAGTAAGTAATACTGATCTATAGGGCACGGATGTTGTTGCATTTGCAACTTTTCTTCTACTTTTCCAATTTATAGTTAAGTAAGTTTTATATGCGTTTCATATACGAATTCAAATATAAAAGTTTTAAGTGCAATTTTTTGGAATTTTTTCAATTTTGTTGAATTTACTCATTTATACAACTATTTTAACTATAGTCGAAACTCGACAGTCGCATAGATAAGATTATACTTTAATATATCCTGCCATAAAATGTAATTAGTAGTATAGTATATAGCAGGGGTCGGCAATTAAATTCTATGGAGGTCCAGAAAATCAAAAAAACAAATTTCGAGGGTCAGTAAAAACTAAAAACTTAGATATTAGTTAATAATTGTTGTATTATTGCAACTATTATTGTAAATAGCAATAAACGATAAAAACCATCGTAATCTCTAAATACATCATAAAATAGATAAAATATATATTATGTGTGGAAAACCGACATTATTAAAAAAATAAATATTTTTTGTGGTCCAATTATTTTTCCTTCACGGGCCGCCTATTGCCGACCACTGGTATATAGTAATAATGGTATCTTATTTTTATTTAGATAATATCAAGTTGGTTGATATTCAATGCAACACAAAAAATATTTATGAAATGTGACTGTTTAACTATTACAATTTGTTCTTCAGTCACTCTGTGAATTTTGAGCTTTCGTGTTCTATTATTGTTTTGTAAATATGCTGAAAATTAAGCCAACTATTTCCACTGTTTAAAAAAAATACATATCAGAATTTGGTGAGAATGTATTTTCATGTGATGAATCTGTACTTTTCTGTAAATTGTACGAAACAAAAGTAAATGCTGAACAGAGGTAAACAGTTACACACCATATTGAAACTGAAAAGCGTCAACGGGCGATTAATCGACAAAATACCACAAAAACATCTATATTGCAACTTCAGGTAACAAAATTAACAAAAAAAAAACATAATTTTCTAAAGACTTGTGTGAGGTCATGTTATCTGCCAATATTCTATTGCATAAAATTAATAACCCAGAATTTCGTTTATTTTTGGAAACATATACGAATAGACATTCCAAATGAATCTGTTACTTAAAAATTACGTAAATGACGTATACTCCGATAATTTAAATAAAATAAGAAATAATATAAAAGGAAATAAGATTTGTGTCTCAATTGATGAGACCAGTGATGTTAATGGAAGATATGTGGCTAACGTTATGATTGGAACACTTCAAACCGACCAACTAGGAAAAATGTATTTATTAAATACAGAAATACTTGATAAAGCAGATTATTCAACAATAATAAAATTATTCAATAAATCAATGTTCCTTCTTTGGCCCGATGGTATTCGACATGATAACATCTTTCTGTTTCTTATTGATGGAGCTTCATATATGATAAAAACAGGGACTACAATTAAAGCACTGTATTCAAAAATGATCCATGTCACTTGCTTGGCCCATGGTATATACCGAGTTGCAAAAGACATACGAGGAAAATTTCTAGATATAGATAAACTTATAGCTAAAATTAAACATATTATTCTTTCATTTACTTATTCTTTTTAAAAATAAAGTATCAGGTACGCCATTACCACCACAACCTATTATCATACGCTGGGGCACATGGATTGAGGCTGCATCATATTATTCTAAATATTTAATGAGGTAAAAAGTGTAGAGCAAGAACTTGATCCTGACGAAGCTGTTTCAATAAAAGATACACAAAATATTTTTACCCAAATTTTACTAGTTTTTTACTACTACAACATCCGTGTCCTACCGATCTGTATGATTCACACTACCACCGTACATGATCTTTATACTCATGAAGTACACTGACTCTTTTGATGCTCTCGTAACCTAAAATAATCGTAAAACTAAAACAAATTGACTGGACCAATCTGGCAGAAAGTCCTTTACTGAACATTAACATGCCCTCTTCTTTCCACAAGGCATTGAATGTACCAACAATAGAGTTTGTTCTTTGAACCTATATAATTAATTTTTTTTTTATTAATATAGTAGTATATTCCATTTGAGATTACAAAACAATTTTTATTGCAACTTGAAAAATCTCAATAAGTAGTTAAATAATATTTACCTAAGAGTGTAATTCAATTTATATTACCTGTAATCGTGCTCTTATTGTATCCATAGGATTTGTTATCAGAGTAGTAGTGAACCCAGCTAATACTCCTGAAATGCTTTGCAAAAATAAAAGTGAAGTGCTCACTGGACATCTTTTTTCAAGTTGATCTGATTATTAAAAAACATAACAATAATAAATAATTTATAATAACAAACAATGAACATTTTTATAACTGATCCACATAATATCTCATTATTTTTATGCGATTCCAGAGCTCCACTCTTTATAATTTTAAAAGTTTTCAATTTAGTATAGTGCTCATATAAAAATAATGTCAATCTATATAAAAAATATATTTAATTACATTCTACCAATCAACGTTTTATTAATTAAATCATTTAAATTACTAATTGTTCAACAATTTAAGTATATTAATAAAGTATTAAAGTATAAACAAATAATTAAATGAAGAAACAAGTTGGTCACTATAATGGTTAGTTTAGTTTTATAAATGATATAATCAGAAAAACTATTAATCATTATTTATATAAATATTATAAAATAAATATATCAAAAAATTAAGGTTATGAAGAAAATAGTAAATACAAAATAAAAAGTTGCTGAGAAATCTACAACAAAAATAGTATCAAAATATTAATAAATAAGTAGCAACTAGCAGGCCAAATATCAGTTTTAAATAATAATATTTTATGTAATAGAGTGCACACGAGTATAGGTATAAAATCATTTTCAAATACAAAATATAACTTTGACAAAGTTAGAAATAACAGGATATGTCAGAAAAAACATATTTCTTTCATACTATATATTGTATAATAAGTGCCCAATATCTCAAATAGAACCCCAAAATATTATTTAGATACATAAAAATCCTAGAAATACTAAGATTAATATTTGACACTATCTTATTAATAATAGGAGGATTAGAACAATAAGTAAAAAAAATAAAAATTAATCAATGAAAATTTTGCGTAGTTGTGTTAGATAACCAAACAAATGCCATCGATAAAAATAATATTATAGTAACACAGTATTGGATATTAAATAAAACAATTCAAATTATTTATTGAGTTAAATTATTAAATAAAATCAAAATTTATGTGTAATTGCTATTTGATTAGGTATTTAATGACTAAGTTAAAAAATTCAATTTAGAAAGTATTAGGCAATTATTTAATAAAATATCTAGTTGTAAACACCTTGAAATATTGTATAAAAACTCCACCATAAAGCACTATTTGGTGCATAAGTGCAAACCGAAGCCACATAACCTCTGTAGAATCCTTTAAACCCGTCTTGTTGATAAACACATTGAGCAATATCTAATGTGGTACGAAATTTTGATTTTGAAATGTCCAAGTGAATACCCAGTGGACGAAAATATATCTAAAATAAAATTACTTCAATTAAATAATTCAGTACAGTTATCAATAAAAACATAGTTCAATTAATGAAAACTATGATATAAATTTAATGTTGGGAACATCATTAATTGGTAATTAATCATAATCAATTACTTAGTTTTATCTTTAAAAATTTGCTACATTAGTAAATATTTATTTTAAATTATTCAACTATTTTTATATATTTTAAAATATATCTCCAATTAATTTATAATAAAGTTTAATTGAAATATTAGTAATTACCTATAACAAAAATAATGTGTATATACCAGTGTACAGCTGAACACTAGTCAATATGTGGTAATTATTGATAATATTTATACAATGGTATAATGAATCACACTTAACATATTCTAGTATTACTTCAATAAATAGTTAAATATGTAGAAAAATTAATTAAAAAATGATTTTATGTAATTAGTATAGGTACCTATGGATTATGAATTATATGGATGGAATTAAAATTTGATATATTATATGTATTAGCAAAAATAATATAAATACTTAAAATAACTAAAAAATTATTTTACATTATTTATAAATCAATAAATTATTATATAATACATGAAATAGTACTGCATACAGCATAATCATTAGATAATCAAATTTATTAGTAATAATGGCCATAATGAATAGATTAATAGATAAGAATTTACCATTTAGACCTTCAACTTATAAATACATAATAATTGTCTAACACCTAAATTAAAATTTAATATAACTAAAAGTGAGGAATAAAGATAAACTAGATTTTCATATAGATTATAAAATATTTATTACTAATACAAAAATCATTTTTATATAATAGAATTGTTATAATTACTTAATTCTATTATATTTAAATAATAAAGACTTAATTATAATTTATAAATAGTAGTATTTCTAAAGGATAGAAAAACTTACATAGATTTACATTTGCTTATTTTTTTTTTGAATATTTAAGATTATAGGTCAAAATGGCAACATTATCTTATGTAATGATTTTACACGACCAATAAAATAACTAAATTAAAAAGTTATTGATATTATTGATCACAATTAATAGATATAACTGTAATCAAATATTTCTAAAGATTTGAATTTTTAGTTAATAAAAATGCACTTTTTATCAAAAAAGGCACATAATTCGATAAACCAAATTTTAGAATATAAAACAGACTTACTATTTTATTTTTGTCTGTACTATTAGTTGATAAACCAAGCATCATCAAATGTTGGCTGACCACATCAAAAGGTACAATTATTGTTTGGCCAAAAACAGATGCCACACCTCCCGCGACCATTGATCTAATTTCAGGCCATTGTTGTAAATATGGAGCCGTCATATGCCTAGTTTGTTCGTATGCGCCAATATAAGCTGCACCAGATAATACTTGGGCAGAACTTACCCAAAATCCACGATAAAGTCCTGACATACCTTCTGTATGATAAATACGACTAGCGGCATCTAGCAAACCTAAAATTAAAATTTATACTGTAGTTAAATTAATTATTATAAAATAATGAATCAAACAGAATAATTAGCTTAAAAAAAAAAAAATAATAAAATATTAAAAGTTAATATTTATTTAAAAGGTTTATTTTTTTTTTTATGTGAATCTGATTCATTCCATTTCAAAATTGTATTGATATAAATACTTAAGAGGTTTTTAATAACAAAGTATTATACTGGTTTAAGACATATCATAAAAAATTATAGTCGTTTTGTTTAAAGTTATCTATTAACATATGTAGTACTTGTATAGTGTATACACTCTGTAATTCTGAACGGGTTGTCAAAAAAACTTGGTTATCATAAAAAGACAGAGTGGTCATTGTACTACCTTGTATATTAAAATAATCAATGTTACCTTTATACATTTCTCCATGTTTTTGAATTTGAAGTCTTGTTTTTATTAAAGTCAATGGATAGAGAGTACATCGAACACAAAATGAGCTTAACATACTTAATGGCAAAAATTTTGTCTTGTCCATCATATCCCATTCGATCGTTGAGACATGTAATCTTGAAGTTAACTTACTTGGTTCAGACATTTTTCTGTTATGTTTTTAGAGAAAATACAAAGCTTATATTAAATGTTAGAGCATATTTTATTCTATATTATTTACTTATATTTTAAGATAAACAGTTAAAAATAATTTTTTAAGCACTTGTAGATTAAAAACACAAAATTAAAAGATTTTAGGTAGGTACGCTTGTTTATTAGCATATTTAAACTTAAAATAATTAAATGCAATTTTATAGTTTTTAAAAGAGTCACAACATAAAAAAAAAAATAATTAACTAAATTTTATCTGAAAGTTTTGGGAACTTAACTACTTCAATACTACTGTGAAATATCAAGTAAATCAGTCAAAATAATCTTATATTCTTATCGTTAAATACGATAAATACGTTATGGTATCAATGAACCATACTCTATGACCGTATCATACTATCACTGTAACCAAATACCATGGCTTTTAGGTTAATATTTGTACATACATTTCTAAAATAAAGATTAAAAAATAAACAATTTAAATTTAAAACGTACATAGTACATACGAAACCAAATATTAAATTCAAAATTGTAAGAAGTAGGTATTTAAAACTAAAAAAAATGTCTGAAGATTTTATGAAATGTCAACTAGGCTTTTTAGGAAACACCGAAGGCTCAGCATATTTATCTCAAGGTAAATTGTTTAATGAATTTTGCATTTTATGAATGTTTATATTTTGGATACTTACTTTATATTTAGGTAAAAGTACTGTTTCTGTGTCGGTTGTTGGACCATTTGAACCCAAAGCTAGCAAATGTATGTACGACCGTGCTACTGTGGATGTGACTTTTAGACGAAAAACTGGAAGCATAAGTACTTATAGATTGATACTTAATATTAGTTGAGTAAAAATATAATTGAATATCTAAATTTATTACAGCTGTTCATGACAAAATGTTAGAAGGTATAATGCAATCAACATGTGAAAATTCCTTAATCGTTGAACAATATCCCAGGACAACAATTTCTGTAACAGTTCAAGAGATGCAGGACAGAGGAAATGTATGTGTAGTTTATTTTTTTAGTTTTAATTCAATAATTTCTTCATGATACAAATGTTGTTTAGTTATTGTCCACTTGCTTGAATGCTTCTTGTATGGCATTGGTGAATTCTGGTATTGCTATGCATCATTTGTATGCAGCTGTGAGTTGTGCAGTCACTGAGAACGAAGAAATCATTCTTAATCCAGACGAATCTCAAATAAATGTAATATCATTGTAACTGATGATTAAGTTAACTACCAAGTACCAGCTATATTAATAATATATACATTTAAATATTTTTTTCAGTCTTCTGTCGCATATTTTACACTAGTGTTTGCAAACTCTGAAACCAGGTTTCTGTTAACATCACATACCACCGGAGAATTTTCACAGAAAACATATATGGAATGTATGAATAAATGTTATGGAGCTAGTAAAGAAGTTTTTAAATTTTATGAAAATGTCATAAAAAAAAGTTATATTTTCAATTAAATGTCTAATATTTTACTGTTAGGCTTTTGTTACATTAAATGTTGATTATTTAAAAAAAAAAAAAAAAATTAAATACCTATTATTATTTATTTTTTATTGTGAACTTCTTAATATGCGATTAATAAATTTTCATACTATTAACTTTTTTGAACACCGTCTATTTAGAGTTTTAGACTAACAAGGATAAAAAGATAATTTTTTTGAATGTGGATATAAAGTTCTTTCTATTCTTCAAAACTTTTTATAATACATTTAAGTTATTATTGGTACTGGCTATTATTAATATACCTTGCTTTATTAATGTTTTAGTAAACTACAAATTTTAAAATAATATTTGTATAACATAAAATTTCAATTATTATCTATATTTTATACGAGATTAGTGAACACAGAGTGGTATCTTACTTTTTAGTAGCTTTAAGGTGTCATTGCTATTCTCGTTTGTAGACATTTGTTTAAAAAATTATCCCAAGATATTTTGTGAAGTCTGTAATTTATCTAAAAAGCATTCAATGAACCTACATAAAAATTAAAATATATTTTAACAAGATAATAGTTTACTACCTACAATGATTTTGAATATCTCTATAAATTTATAAAAAAATATTATAATACCTATGATTTATGGCATCAGAATATGAAAATTTAATTTCAATAGGGTTAATTAATAATTCAAAAAAAGTTTTTTTAATTCTTAGCTATTTTTATAAAGGCATTAAGCTTAAAAATATTTAATTGTTATATGTATCAAATAGTTATTTGTTGTAGTTTCATTCAAATTTAAATTATTCTTTTTTTTATTACCATCCCCATAACTTTCTAAGAATATTATATCTATGTTTTAATTAAATTATTATGTACCTAGGTAGGTAACTATTATTTGTTATTTTTAAAATACCTTGTCATACATTTTGCAAATTCACGTAAATTTAGCCATTTGGATGACATTAGGTAGAATTGTAGAAATGTTAAGCATCATATGATCATAAATCTGAATTGTTTTATTTTTTTTTACCAAGCTCTAAATAATTTATTCTTGATAGGGTATATTCTCGGACATAAATTATGTCAATTTATTTTGAATTAGATTATAAATTGTGATGGATATTTAAATATCAATCTGATGTCTGCGAAATGGCTATTAAATTAAAACCTTCGTTATGCTATGTTCAAATCGTTACAGCTTACAAGAGTACAAATCAAAAGACGTCAATGAATAAATATATTCTCTGACTTATGTGTGAAAGATGTATTTAAGATATTAAAGGTACTACATAGACGATAGACAGTACTACACTTACATACATGTCTATAATTTATTTGTGAATAATCATTATGTAGGAAAAAACACTTTAGTTATAGTCCTAACTTCTTGTTAGGAAACCAAATTTTTGTAATTTCAACAGAACTTGAAGCCATTATTGTTTTTCTTTCTAATAAATACAAATAACCGTAAGTGTGTGAGACAAGGAGCGTACTTGGAAATTTTTCAAAGAGAGGTTCACATTTTTAAAATATTAAACAATTATGTGATTAAAAAAACAACAAACATATTGATTTATTAACTTAAAAATTAAATAAAGTGTTAATATTACATTAATTTTAATATAAATAATATAATTTACTAGTATAATCTGTGGTGTTTGCACCTTAAGCATTCAGTTAATTAATGGGGGGGGGGGAAGTCTAGACCCGGAAACCCTCCCTTGGGTATTTCTCTGTATGAGTAGCTGCCTATCGTAAAACGCCTTAAGATCAAGAATTACCGTCATTAACTAAAATTAAATTTATGAACATTGAACGTGGTATTCAATACAATAATTGTATTATTCTGTTATTGCTAACACAAGCTTCTTTATTTCTTTATGGATCGCCAAGTAATAAAATATTAATTAACTGTCTGGTTTCTAATACCATTAGTACTGATAAATTACCGGGTAAATTATGATCACTTATTGGTTCCATTAAACTATTTACATTTAAATTTCAACTGATTTATTCCAATTCTTTTGTTTTCATTAAAACATCTTTCTATTATTACTGGTTTTGAAAAATATTGTTTCCATTAACGGTATAATACATTAATCGTTTTTTCATAAAAATGTTGTTTGGGTGATATGTTTTTTGAGAACAAAAACAACACTACAACACACGACTATTGGATCAAATGGCAAATGCATTGTGGATTGTGGAACTGATGAAGTGGTGAGTGAAGATATTATCATATCTCGGGTCCTTATCATTTTTCGGACTAGTGCTTATCACTCCATATTATTTATTCTGTTATTATTATTGTTATCAGTGAAAATTTCCTCGTATGGTGTAAGACCACTAAACCTGATGTAAGACCTAAAAAGTGCAACAACACTAACAGCTAAGGAAATTATTGGAATTTATTGTTGTATCTGTTTAACATTTTTTATGAGTGATAATTTCGTTAAATATTGTATTTGAATTAAACTTATGCAATACTTCATTGTATAAATAGAAAAAAAGTAATTAAAAGCTATATTCTGTGTTAAAAGTATCAAAATGGCAGATTCTAAAAAAAATAACGATGCAGCTTTGGAATGGTTGAAATTGAAAACGGACAAAGGCCAAAAACCAGATTATCAAATTAGAGCTGAAATGGAAGATGTTGGCAATAAATTTTTGAGAAAATTTAAAGAAAACCCATTCGTCCCTATTGGTAAGTCAATTTACAAATTAATAATCAAGAGGAAAAAATAAGTTTTCTCAATTTTTAAATTTCATAATATTTCATAAAGGTCATAAGTTGATACAGAAATATACAGATACACTGTATTATAGTTACTTTTATGACTGAGTCATGACAAGAATGCTGTTCTGATGACTGATTTGCTGGATTTATTCCTTCATAGTGAATGTTAATTTAACTATCACATGTAATAATAAATTGTTATGGTTTTTCTTCTAGGTAAATAATTCTTTTTTTTTTTAAATTTTTTTCATGACTAATTTCTGTAGTTTTTATTAGTATAAAATATTTTAAATATTGCTAAACTTTAAATACCTGTCTACAATAATATTTGTAAAAAATGTTGTATAAGTTTTTTTTTCATTTCTAGGTGCATTGGTCACTGTTGGTTTTTTAGGTGTAGGTCTAAAGAGTATGTATGATGGTAACAGAGTGAGATCTCAAATGATGATGCGAGGACGTATTGCAGCTCAAGGAGTTACTATAATAGCTATATTGGGTGGTCTGTTTTATCAAGGAATGACAGCATTGAAAGAAACCGAAGAAGAGACTCATGAAACTGGCTTAAAATAATGATTTCAGCCATGTTACATATTGTTTTACAGTCCAATTATTTGTCGTTGTTTTTGTATAACTTATAAACTTTACATTTTACATAGAATTACTTGTTTGCACCTTATTTAAAAATGAGCGTTTGCATTTATCTACATATGTATATAATATATTATTAGATAATTAAAAAATATGACGTTTTTAATTAAAAAAACAATTTTGCATATCTTTAACTTATTGAAGTAGGATATTGGAGTATATGATAAATTAATAGCTGAATATTTGATTCCATTTTTCATAATAGTATATTTTTAATTACTCAAAAGATGTGTACCTAAAATTACTTTTAATTTATATAGATCACTATCTATCATGTTGTCATTTTGATTAAATGATTTTTCAATTTTCTTACACTATTAAAATTTTTTTATTTTTTTGGTAAATAATAGTTAATACCAATTGTAATTAAAAAGATGCTACTTGCTAGTACCTATATTTTTTTCATTTAATATTAGAAAATCATATTAATACATCTCATTATATAAGTAGATTACATAAAAAATCGATAATACATAGAAATTGTTTGGTTTATGTTATGTTTAATAATTATGATTTATGATATTAAATCTGTAATTCAAAAATCTCATATTTTTAGGAATTTCAAAGGAAATAAAATATTGTTTTAAATAATTTTTTATAACTATGACAAAGGTTTTAAATTAGACTTCATTATAAATTCAATTATGTTTTAAAAATAATTACTGGAGTAAACCTCAAATCAATATATTGGAACTTATCTAAGTCTATTTTGATCCAAAAAAAAAAAAATAGTGCAAATCCTCTTAATGAAGAAAATACATCAATGCAACTTTTGGTACCTACCTAAATCCAATAATTCTAATATTACTTTTTTATGCTAAAATTACAATTTAATTTAAATCTACTAACATTGATCATCAAAAATTATTTAAATTGTATTTTATTACTAATTGAAAATCACTTCGTAAGAACATTTTTTTTTTCAAAAAAATTGCACTCAAAAGTGTAAGCTAAGGCAGTCAATATTAAACTATTAGCATTTATACAGTACAACAATTACGTTTTAAAGTTCATTATTTTCATCACTAGATAACGCTACCATGCTCGTTTTTCAAATTTAATTTTTTGATTTTCCACATCTGATTTTTTTTGTTGTAATTATTGGCCACAAAACGTTATGTTAGAAGAGTAATTCAAAATCTTACAATTTAAATCATTATCTCACTATCATTTTCAGTCCTACAAATCGCTAAATATTTGCATTATAAACTATTTAATAGATACAGATATTATCAACTTCAACGTTCACAATAAGTGTACACAGCCTTCAAAAATTGTTAAAACTAGACGATTACCTTTGGGTTATTTTTCAAAATGTTTAAGCTCTGTAACAAGTCTAATCAATAAAAAAATAAAAATAATGACGGAAGGAAAAAAAACTATTGCTTACTACTTGGATTGATCAAAGATATTTGATAATATAAACAGTGAGTTACTAGTTAATGAACAACGGACGTCTATATCTACGTGGCTACATCGCTACATAGAGTTAACACTTTAATACCTACGTTACCAAAAAATGTCATCAATAATTTAATAAAATGTAAAACAACATGTTTGAGAGGTAAAAATAATAAACAAATTAAAAACAATTTGGACAAAATTTAAATGTGTCTGTGAGATGTGATCAATACCTGCAGTTTAAAATGGTTGGCTTGGTATTACTTAAAAAATCGATTCTTTTAAAATTTATAAATACATAGTTACATATTTTTACAAATTGTAATATAGCTTAAATTTTAAATGTTTAAAAAAAAAAAAAAAATTAGACAAAATATGAATTGTTGATATTTTTAAATCAAGAATAATTTTTGTTAAACATGGGAATCTTCTAATACGATATTTAAAACTTTTGAGCTACAAAAATTATATCATTAAAAATAATAAAACAAGTAAAAAATATAATTAAAAAAATACCTATATAGTACACGTAAAAAAAAAAAAAATTATAAAAATACAAACACGTATACAAGTATACAAGTTATTGTATAGAGACGTATCTAAACCATTTTGCGAACGTCCAACACGGCCGAAGCCGTAGTTATATCCACTGAATTAGTGCCTAGACATGTGTAATTTCCCGTGTGTACGGCGGGTTTGAATTCCATGATTTGTACCCACGAGGTGACAGTAAAATGGTCTGGGCCTCCTCTGGTCTGTATCGCTATCAGCGTATCGTCTCCTGTGAAATAAATTAACATATTAACCCATTAAGGCCTAGCGTAACCGTATGGTAACACAATTATAGTCATGTTTGAATGCATGCTATTTTTAAACTTATGGGATTATCCAGTTCCAACGTCGTTCATATCGTTGATAATGACCCGGTGATTAATTTTACACACAGATATCTTTATTATATGTTGACATTAAATATTTATCAAGAAATTCAATTTAGTTTGAAAATTATTTCGTAGAACATGGATATCAATTTCGAGTAAGTAAATTATATATATTTTAAATATATGAATCAACTATAATTTTTATTTATGCGTATTCAGTATACTATAGGGATTAATATTAACTTAATAAAGTGTGATATTATTCAATATTGAATAAGTTATGAAAGTTAAAAGTTTGATGTTACCGTATGGTAACGCTAGGCGCAAGTACTACATATAATTTAAATTTTTTCAACAGAACTGGATTTTCGCTGTCTGAGGCGTTAGACATTTTGTACAATGACATAGATGCAGACGAGATATATATCGAACCACCTGAACCATGTGTACAAACTGATGAAGATTCCGGGGATGAAAACAATGGTGAAGTAGACAACTTATCAGCACGCCAATTACGATCTAAAGCAGAAATTAAATTAGCCAATAATAAGAGGTACGGCGGTATTGGTGATGATAATATTGGTCTAGAAAACATTTTGAGCAGTAAATCTGTGACATCGAGTGAACAATATAAACACGTAAGCACGAAAAGTATAGATGAGTGGATGAAAAAAATAAAAACTGGTAAGAAATCTTTTACGTGGATAAAAGGGGGAGATTTTGAAGAGCTTCAAAAGAACTTTCCTGAGCCTGATTTTTCAAGTTACAAAAACTTATCTATTGTAGACATTTTTGAAACTTTTTTGGATTACGACATAATTAATTATCTTGTGGATGAAACTAGGCGTTATGCACTTTTTTTAAATTGTCCAGATCCACATATAACACATGACGAAATTCGATGTTTTATTAGTATTTTATACCTTAGTGGATACAATAAATTACCTTCAAAAAAGTCGTTTTGGGACTCTATGGATGATATGAAAAATGAGGCTGTCTGTAATGCAATGCGCCGTGATAGATTTTTGCAAATATGTCGCTTTATTCATTGTGCTGATAATACACAAATTGATGCTAAAGATAAGGCTTGGAAAATTAGACCTCTTATGAATATGATAAAAAATAAGTGCTTAGAAAATTTTGTACCTCAAAAACATCTTGCTTATGACGAATCAATGGTGAAGTACTTTGGTAAGCATGGATGTAAGCAATTTATTAGAGGTAAACCAATACGATTTGGTTACAAAATGTGGTGTGTAAATACGAATGACGGTTATCTTGTAAATTTTGAATTGTATCAAGGCAAAGATCCTCGTGAAAACGAAAAATATAATTCTATATTTGGAAAGGCAGTATCACCTCTTATTTTAATGCTTGAAGACTTACCCAATTCTAAAAAAAAATTACCTTACTCATTGTACATGGATAACTTATTTACTGGGATAAATGTTTTTAATTATTTCAAATATCTGGGTTACTCAGCGATTGGTACTATCCGACAGAATAGAATACCAAAAAATTGTCCTTTGACCGACAAAAAAAAATTTTCAAAAAAAGAACGCGGAAGTTTTGAAACCGCAATAGAAAAAAATGAGGGTATTTTGTTGGTTAGGTGGATGGATAATGCAGTTGTTACAATGGCTTCCACTGATGTCGGCACCGAAAAAGTATCTAGTGTAAAAAGATATTCACAAAAACATAAAAAACATATAAATGTAAGTCGCCCCAATCTTGTTGCGCAATATAACCAGTATATGGGCGGAACTGATCAGATGGATCAAAACATAGCCACTTATAGAATTGGGGTGAGAGGTAAAAAATGGTGGTGGCCAATTTTTACTTGGCTATTGGAAATTCCAATGAACAACAGTTGGACTTTGTACAAAAAAGCTAACTCTAAACAAATTACTCAATTGGATTTCCGCCGTGAATTAGTTCAAACATATTTACAAAGATATGGTATAGCTCGAATAGGTGCAGGGAGACCTTCAAGATCTCTGTCATCATCCGACAGTCGTATTTCCGATGATATTAGATATGATCGTATGGACCACTTAGTTTCATATACTCAAGAGAAGAAAAGAAGGAGGTGTGCAAAAGATGGCTGTAAATCAGTAGGACGGACAATGTGTGTCAAATGTGACGTTGGACTATGTATAGATTGTTTCGTGAACTTCCATAAAAAATAAATTTGATTACAACTATTCAGTTTTAATGTAATATTTATAATTATAATTATGCAATCATTGTTAAAATAATACAATTGATTTCGTCAATAATAATTGGTTGTTGAAATTGTATACCTACTATAACGATATTTATTTGTAAAAAAAATATGATGATTTTAAAATAGGTAGTATATACTTCTAGCGTTACCATATGGTCACGGAACTTATCTTAAAAACGGGGTAAAAAAAAAAAAAAAAAATTATAGACAATTATTATATAAGTACGTAAGGTGACCTTTTAATCAAAATCAACTTCAAATTAAAAAAAAAAAAAATTCCGGACTTAATGGGTTAATGTACATTATAAACGAATACACGAGTTGAGTTGAATACCAGGCAATAACTATTATGTATTATAATTTAAAAATGAAAATATACGAATAATGCGCGTTTGTTGAATTTTAACTAGTTAGTATATATTATTATGATTCCAATAATATTATAATAACTACGGCGCGGATGCAAATCGCATTTTTTTTCTGAATATTCTAGAATATTGTTTAACAAGTACAGAATTTGACTAATACATCAAAGAGTTTATAAATGAAAATTTTATTTTACATAGGTAGGCATTTTGGAATTTTTTATATTTTTTGTAAATTTTTACATGTTTTATAATAGTGTATAGAGTTTGATACAAGTTAACTACACAAGTATCTTATCTAAGAAAATAAATAGGTTTAAGTTATATTGCTTTGTTATACTATTTTTATTCTAAATTACGATGTAGAGTATAACGAGCATAATATTATGTACCTATCAGCTGATATTTGATAATAACAGCACAACGGTCTGACAAATTAAATTTATGTTACGTCCAAGAATCATATTATTAAATATACCTACATAATTATAATATAATACATGTATATATTAAGTCGTTTTATTTAAAACTCTTATAAATCAAGATAATGTAAAACTACGTAAATTTAAATAATATAAATTGGTTTTTATTTAATAATTTTTATTTAACATTAAAATAAAAACAATGTGTAAGTGTTTTTTTTTTAAGTATTGTAATATTACTAGAGTATTAAAACCGTTTTCTCGGCTTTTTTGGGTGTTGTCTATATATTACTTATCTACCGCATCTAGTGCTAATGGTATACTCCATATCGAAGCATCCAAACGTCACATTAGATTTTGTGCAAACTTTACCCGCAGATTAATTGAAGGTCATATATTAATGTACGACACTAGTCATAGCGAATTTGTATTCGTGCTACAGCTGTTAATAGTTAATACTAGGTTTCAGTAGTTTATTTATCAGTGGTTTAGTTTAATTTTGTGAAAAATGATGTCCCATTGTTCCCCATAAGAAGAACGACGTCTTTAATCAATATTAACCGATATAAGGTCAAATATTTATCTTATACATAATTTGTATTATAATAAATATTTGCTAATTATATGAAATTTATTTTATACTTATGCTTAAAATAGCCAAATGGCTATTAACTTATTATATATATATATATAAATAAATAAATTTATTTTCATAAAAATTTTATATATATATTTTTTTTTTTTTTTTTGTACGCATCAGTGTTTTAATTTATTGTAACAATTATTTAACTATAGATACAGTTTGTAATGTGTACAAATTATAAATTTATAACATTTGGTTAATAGTTAACAACAATTAATATAAATGTTTTTAATGATTATTGATAAACATATTAAAAAAAAAAAAATACATATATAGATAAATCAAGAACAATAAAGAAACTATAATAGTAATTACATACATGTAAAATAATTTAGGCGAATATTGTGCGTAGTTTTATTATTTTTAACCACCCATTGAAATATGTCTTTGGGATCAGGAGCGGATAGAAAAGATAAAATGATAACTTAGCTATATTCTACTAAAATTCAATTACACGATATATACATAATATTATACTGGGTGATTTTTTTAATAGTAATTACTCATTATCACGAAAAATATAAATGTTTTTAGAAGTATTTTTTTTTGCATAAATTGAAGTTATAGTAAATAAGTACTGATTTAAAGTTAAGTCGTGTGGAGTAATAGACCAATATTTTATACGGTATCCCTATGATACTCATATATCTTTTAAACTTTAAAGTTTACAATTTTAAATAGGTACTAATAATTTGGTATTCGTTAAAACTCAATTTTTATACATAGATGTTTTCGGAAAAATATTCTGCTCAGAAATATGAAATTAAAAATTTATGTGTTCTTTGTTAAAAGCGAAAAGTCCAAAAATCTATAACACTAAAAATAGTATGATGCCTTTAGGCTTTAAGTATATATTTCAATCATGTTTTGTAACGATTTAAAATGAATATACAAATTTTCGACGTAGGTATGAAATAAGTATTAATAAGATTATAAAAATTAAGTGCTTTGCATATCTATACCTAAATTATATTGTTATTATTATTATTATTATTATGTTTTTTTATCTGTAGACAGTAGGTTTTTTACTGCCAATATATATCATAATTTAAACAATAACATTATAGATTATCATAAGGTATTATATGTATATCTATTAGCTGATACGGTTTAACATTTCAACTTATGTTTATTTAACCATCTCAACTATTTTAAACAAGATATAAATGCACGAGAAATAAAATAAATAATAGAACTTATACCTTTAGAGTATTATTAAGTAAAAATTTCGTGGTTATGATTTAATATAATGATAGCTATTCATGATAGTATTAATGTTAATGAAATCGTCGTACTATTGAAATGTAGATAATTAATTATCGTTTCTTGTATATCACTATGAGTCATTATTATTAACAAGTACTAATTGATTAAACTTCAATGATTTCGAGTATTTGTTAAAAGATTGATTGACATTATTTCTATGGAAATACAACAATGTTCAATCTTAAAATAAAAATAAAAATAATGCTTGCTGATAAAATATAGAAAAATGTATTATACCGCTAAGTTGCATATTAATTATTATCTAGATCTAGCAGAATTAACACATTAAATAAACATCATTAATTTAACCAGCAGATATCCTCAATAAAAATTTAAAGTTTACATTAAATTTATTATATAGCATATAATATAATAGGGGTTATAATTTAAAATAACTTTGAAAATTCAGTAGATTTAAACTAATTAATGGTACTACGTTACTTTATATGAGGATCGTGAGGTCTCGTGTAATGTGTAAGCAGTTTATTGTTTTTGCAAGTTGTAACTTTTTCTTTTCTTTATCAATGTCATATTACTTGGGAGAGGTAGAATGTGCCTAGCTCACTATTAATTCTCTTCTCTGAGAAGTGAAAAATTCACGTGTTATTGTAGATGTTATTACCAATGGAGTGGGTCCGGTTGTATTTAAAAAAAAAATGTAAATCGAACCTGGCAACCATTTGGTGATTCCATATGTGTTCGTAAATTGCCAGTTAATACTAGGCACAGGATATCCCTTGACTTCACAATCAAATACCACGGTATGTCCGATGGAACCAGCTAAGTTCTTGGGCGCTGACCTAATGACAGGGGCTAAAAACGAATATAATAATTATAATATAGTATAATAATAATATTTTTAAAGTGTTGACATTATAATTTATCGAGAATTCGCAACTGTAAGCAAACAATTTGTTTATTATATAGGTGAGAGATATATCTAATAAGTATTTCACGAATACAATTTTGTTTGTAATGTGTATCATAATCTATCACGTGCACGATATTTCACAACCGATATACAAAATATTCAATTAATAATCAATTATTTCATCAATGATTACATTATGTAATTACTTATCAATAATCAAAGTTCAAATTTTTAAATTGTATGTTCATAAACATTATTATCGTTATGACGTTATGTCACCATAACTATTGTTAATAATTAAATACACACAGTTATTTAATGGTATGTCAATCATGTTTTTTTGTTTTTTTTTTTAACACAGTAATTATAATATATTTAATATTATACTAAAATATCAAATTATGTTAGAATACTAGATATTGATATAAATATTAAATATTATTTATATATATTCATATAGTTAAATTTGGGTAGAGAGCGTGGTATTAGATTGTAACAAATAACGATAAGTAACAGCTGATGTACTACTACACTGACGTTTAATTTGTATAGAATACAGAGCGATTCATCAAGAATACTTATCTTTACTTTTTCTCTAAAATAGATTAATTTAAACTCTGGTTTTTGACATTTTTAAGTATAGACATTGATTATCAATGGTATATACTATAATATTTTCAAACAGGTACTTGGAATTTTGTGTGATTTAAGTAGTGTTCGTTTTTTAAATGTGTATTGTCCTTCATTGGTGTATTTAGGTTTTTGTCATGGGGAGAGATATGATTTTATACGGTAATTACCAACTCGAGGGGGCTACGCCTCCTTAGCCCCCTAAATTTCCAGGAATTATAATAGCTTTTTATAATAAATTAATAGCTATTAAATATTCATTCTATATTTAAATATGTTGCCAAAATTATAATATACCTATAACACATTACTTGAGATTAAATGTTTTATTGATATAAAATCGAATGCTTAAATAAATATGAACAATATGATGACTATAATTATTATTATTTGTGTGTATACAGCTTATGGAGGGGATTATCCCCTTGATATCTCCCCCCTCTCGTAAATACGCCACTGTTGCCCTATAACTATAAATTATTAAGGAGAAAATTATTTTTGAAAATTTTGATGTATAGAAATCGAAATTTGACTTTAAACGTTGAGACCTACTTAAGATTAAAGCCCATTATAAAAGATTTAAAATACCCAAATAAATAATGATGATTTTAAAATTATATAGTTATTAAAATAAGTTAATTAAATTTTTTGTAAAAATTATTCTAGTATAAAAAGCATATTTATAAATAATAATTGACCAAAGTATATTAAATTTATTTTAGAACATTATTAAGGAATATAATTATTTTAAATTAATTGTGTAGAAATTAATTTTTTAAGTTCAGATTTAGATACTTAAACAATTTCAAAAAAATTATTTAGACTCACATTTACTCTAAAAAAGGAGGGTTTTGTTTGAAAAATAAAGTTTTTATCACTACAAAATAATTCTTAAATTATTCAAAAATATGGGATTTACTGGCTACCTAGCTACTTGGAAATTGGGATAAAATAAATGAATTACTTAAGGGTTAAAGGGGATGGATTAGCATGCCCGACAAATCACTCGGTAAATGCATATAGGTATATATAATTTTATTTTTATGTTTTAGTACCTCCTAATCAATAAGAGAAAAATCAAAAAAAGTAAACTCGAGTCATGTAAGTACATAAATCTATTTTAGCCACTATTTGCTAAAAAGAAAAAAAATAATAAATAATAAATAAAAACCTTTTAAAAGAGAATAATTGATGCTATGTGAAGCTCGGTTGAAAATCAATAAGTATAGTAGAGTACACACACACACACACACACACACACACACACACACACTCATACATTACACATACTCAAACGTGTTCGTTGACAGATTTATGTACGTAAGTATACTTGCATTTCGTATATTATATTTTAGTGTGTTTAATCGTACGTCAAGCGGAAAACTATGAGAACGCGAGAGACAGTATTTGAAGAGAGTGGAATCGAATTAATAAGAGATCGTTCAAACGTTATATTATGTCTTTAATATGATATTACATTATACACGTGCGTGTGTGTATAGGTACTTACCCGATTGACACGGTCCCCTATATCGCATCCATAGTTGCGTCCCGTTGTTGCCGAGCTCCGCGGCCGCCTCGTTCAGCTGACACGCATTCGAGTACGTCCTATTGTCCGACCCGCATATCGGATCCGTTTCCTTGCATGCGCACCGGTACTGCACTCCGGCGTTGACGTCTTCCTGTTTACATAATAATAATGTATGTATCGTAATATGCCAGCCTGTGGTTTTCATTAATTTTACAATGTTATACTATACGAGTATTATAAAATGTTAATTATTATTATGTACATTTGCTGGTTAGCCAATATTAAAGAAATGTAGCTAGGTACTAATATTTCTTACATGAGTGGAATTGAAGGGAACTGGGGTTTTAGCCACCCAAGGTGTTAAAATCGTTTTATTATCACGTAATACCTAATAGTTTTATAGTTTTTCAAATCTTATTTATAAGATAATTTTTTTTTTAAAGTATATGAATTTATTTCTGCCAACATCACCTAATGACAAATGACATATAAATTCGAGGAATATTTCCGTCGTCTACCAACATCATTCATTAATGGTCTAAATTTTAGACATTCAGTACTCATATTAAATGCAAAAAATAAAATATCCGACCAAATATTAGATATTTATCCATTGGCATTAAAACATTTTTAGACGGCAGTGAACAATATTACTTTTAAAATATAAATATAATATGTAGTAACATATATGAAGCGTATATTATGCTATTGAATTATGGCGAAAAAAGAATTCGTATGTATTAAAATAATAACGAATATTACTATAAATAATAAAATTGTATTGAAATTTAATAGCAGTTAACTATTAAAAAATTCTATCATACTGTAGTAGCTCTAGAACTTCCTGTACAGGTTATTAGAACGGCAGTTGTTTGATTGACTGCAAAAATTTGATAAATTTTAAAACCTGAATATGTCGATAATTTTTTATCGTCTTAGAGTTTATGATGTCAATATAATATATAAAAATATTAAATATTAATACCATTTATCTTATAAATTAAATTTTATTTCCTGTGAATTGGTAATATTAATAGTATGCATATTCAAACTATTTAAAAATATATTAAGTACCTATGAATAGAGGAATATTTTTAAATGTTTATAAGTTCAAAATATACACATTAGATTCTGAGTGAAGCAAGAAATAGTGATATATTTTTTTTATTAAAAATTAAAATAAAATCAGTGAAAATAGTAAAAAAATAAAAATATATTGTATGAATATGCATACTGCGTTATAGTGTATCTATAACTACTTCATAGATTTTATTCGTAATGTTTCACACGTCAATAAGTAGTGTACCTACTTATTGGCTATGAGATGATCATCATTCATCACAGAATAATAAAATATCGCGTGTTTCCATATTCTTCCGACGTTCTCGTTATTATTATTATTGATACAAATTTTACAATTTTTTTTCTTCGTCAAAGTGATGATTTAAAAACAAAACATTCAATCCCGTTAAGGTGCGCGTTGAATCTTTAAAGTCGGTTGAAAAAAATGCAGAATGCACAACCTAACCTAACCTTGAGCAATTCTGTATGCCGGCCTAGCGATCGACTTGTATACGTGACACACAAAATATGTTCATAATATTATATTATAATACCCACAATTCACATAATATAGTACTATGATAATAATATGACATAGCAGATGCATCACTGAGCTTAAAAGATTTCACGTGTTCGGGAAAAAGCGATCGGCGTAGAACGAAACAAAAAAAATATCAAAGAGAAATAATTTGCGTCTATACCGCAGCCGTGTAAGTGAGTGAATATACACAGATATATACATTATATATAGGTACGTCGTACGTTATATGTTTATATTATAAACTTTATAATATCAACACGACAGCCAACAGGAGTGAAAAAACCGCATCTTGTTCTCGGCGTTTTATACCACGTGTACATTATAATAGTAGGTACCTATATGAATATAATATTGATGAGTACATTATTATATTGTAACAAACAGCTTGGAAATGCCAATGTTTGTTTATTATTAATTATAACGATATCATGTTTAGAATAATAATAATGTTATATTCTCGTTTTTATTATTACTTTTTTTAAATTACACACAATATTAGTATATTATATTAATTAATGTATATTAATATAATTATATATTATGTTGTATGCTTAGAAAAAAAATCAACGTTCATTTTTTTTATAATATTTTTTTATTGATTGTCATTTATTTTATAGAACTGTATATATTTTAAGTGTTTATATCATTCGCTCGAAATATATACATCACACCTAATATTCGGTTCGAATCCACCTGCGTATTATAATAATGTTATGCTGTCGTGTGTATTGTCCACACTCTACACAAATAATACGCCAGATGATAAAAGAATGAAAACAATTTTAAATCACATTTACACAGACATTAGGTAGATAAATGTTAAGAACGATAAAACAATACAGTACATATTGTATACATTTTTTTTATGGTTGCATGTCAAAATAGTTTTATGATACTATATGTATAAATGAAATTTATTTAGTTAAATTTCCTATAGTTACTATACTTTCTACACATCTAAGTATCTAACGTAAGATGACGATGATATACCTAAAATATTTTTTATTGCTGGTACTAATTTATTCAATGACTTTTATTAAAATAATAATTTAGAACAATATTACTCCGTAATAAAGTTCAATGTTTTTATTTATCTCATGATTTTACTAATAATTCAAATTCAAATATTATGTTAAGATATAATTTAATTTAAAAAATGTTCTATAGCTATAATTTTAGGACTAATATAAATTATGATATTGATATCTTAATAGTTTACATTTGTAATAATATTGTTGATATGGCATGAATCAATGGGTCAATTTACCAGTGTTTAATCGTTGATTAGTGGTTCTCTATATCTACATTATATGAAAATTAAAAAAAAAAAAAAATACTAAAAGATCATTAAAAATAGAAATCAAAAATTCAATATTGTTATTTGTAATAGATTTTAGCTGAATGAACTATAAACAATAATGATAATAAAACAGAAATCTTTGCGAAATCCCCTATTATTTGTATGTAATAAAGTAATTAAAAAAATATTATTTATTAATTATTGAAATAATTTCAAAAATAATTATTTATCGACATTATATATTTTATACTGCATTAAGATCGTAATAAATTTCACGTATGAGATCGGTTAGATTAAAATTGTAAAAATAAAATTATTCTTTGTAAAATAGTCAATATTTACTGTCAACATTATTGTAATTATAAAAATAATCGGGAGAATTGGGATAGTGAACTTCGCAGTTACAGTATTTACTACAGTCCATAGTATTCAATATTAAATATTTTTTATGTAAATATTATGTGAATGAAAGTCAAATATCCTATGATAGAATCATTCAATTATGAATATTATCTTGCTATCTGAGGAAATAAATATCGCGAGGGTAAAGATTACTAACGATGATTATTATTAATTTAATTCTCCAAAATACAAGCATTTCATTTTGAATTTATGATGATTATGTATGATGCGAATAATAATGTCGAAGTGGCTCTCTTGCTCTCTTCTTAAATAACGATCTTATAATGTTAACTTATATTTTATTATGTACCCATTGCTCCATGATATTTTGATATCACTGCTTATTTCGGAAGCTGTACACGATTTTTGTCATAAATGAGTTGCTTTATATATACGAGTGATGAGACGCAATATTAATAAATATATATTATATATATATATATATATATATATATATAATATATATATATGTTTTTTACTTCAAAAAAGACTGATGGTATATAAATTAGTTGAAAATTTGAACATTAGTACTTACATAATATGTATATGTGTATATATATTACCTATGCGTTCCTTTGAACAAAAATTTTACATCAGTATTTACTTTTAACTATAATTAAAAATAAATGGCGTGATAAATAAATTAATATAAATTATATATATAATTAATTAATTAATTGAATTTTTGTTTAAAGGAACGCGTAGATCATAGAAACGTCATAAAGATGTGTATAGTTACCAAAATACGTGAAGTTATAATAAGTTTAAAATAAACGTCGATATGGACGATATTTGTGTATTATGCAACATTATATTTTTGAAGAGCACTTCTCACACGCATATTGTGTTGTTTTTTTACAATGGTAAAGTGTGTAGATAACATAAACAACTTAAGTTCAGTAGTTCTCAATTTCTCATATGCTTTATAATTTTTAATATTAGAGTGAATTCACATCTTATTATTTAGGTATAACACCATTTCCTGTGGTTTGTTGGAGGTATTTTTTTTGGTATTTAAATTTAAATAAAATTATTTAAAGCATTATTTTAAACTGTAATATTTTGTATATTTATAACTCTCTTCAAAACTAAAATATCGAAAAAGCACTTAACAAACCACAGTAAATGTTATTGGCTTTGAGTTCAATAATAGAAAAATTCTGCGCTTTAATATTAAAAATAACGAAGTTAAACGAAAATTACTGAATGTAAATCGATTGTGTTTCACACTTAAAATCTGTAGATAACATATTCAGATGAGACGTCCGTTTAAACATAATTTATAACTAAAAACATCTGACAAGGATGGTAGTGGAAGAATAGTACCCACTAAAATCCGGAGTTTATATTGATATATTTTTTGTGATTATTAACTTTTTATTTTACGATATGGGCCCAATGGTGTACGGGGGAGGGGGGGGTATACGGAGGCATAGTTTACGGCGTATACCTGTATACCTCAATACGCTATTTGTATCCCATGGCGTATAGCTTATGACAAATTAATGATACGCGGGTATACATACGGCCGTATCTATCGTATATTTTATACAACAATTTTAAATAATATATCAAGTATCATATCACGGTTGTAGATAAATATAATACATCAATAACCTTGCAACTACGATATCTCGATAGCCGATTGTATAATACTTTTTTTTTGTGGTATCACAATATGATTCCAATGTGTATAAAAAGATTACATTTTAAATTTTTTGTTTAAAATGTAAAATATTTGTAATATTAGAATATTAATTGATAAAATAATTTATTGTTTTTAATTTAGTATATTTTTAAGAGAAATAAAAGTTATAGTTGAAGCGAAGCGAGAAAAATTTTTTTG